ACTTGGACATTGTGAAGCGGCAAATGAGTGATGCTTCGGGCTTGCCTCCTCGGGGACGTCGCACAAGAACTCCTGGAAGACAAGTACGAAGGCTGAGTGATCCAGCGGGCGGCGTGCCACCGTTAGCGACAAGACACTGTTCAAGGTAGGATGAGAAGGAGGGGTGTGCAAAACATCAACAACCCCTCTTCAAGAGGGAAACCGTGTGAAACCCGCCTGTTCCATGTGCGGACAAAGCACCTGGACCTGAATGGAACACGCTTGCTAGTGATGCCAGTCAGTGGAAAACTGGCAGGAACCCACGATGTGCAAAACGAAAACCCGCAGTCCTTGAATTCCTTGTGCCGCGTGTCTGTCACCTGCTGAGCTGAGAATTGCCCCCAAGCCAACTTGCTCCGGCCGGTGTCTCCAATCAGAGGGGTTTGGGGGACTCAGGCTTTGTTTAGGCCACACCTTGTGCGTGTGGGCACCTTTAGGGTAGCGCTGTAGTATTGGGCAAACGCGTTGCAAAAATTACATACACGACATACGTGAGATACGTGCCATGCGTGACACACTTACATACGTACATTACATGACATTACATGACATTACATTACATGACATCACATCACATCACATCACATTACATCACAATACATACAGACTCTACACACATACATACACACAATCATACATTACCTTACGCACATACTTACCACATAACATTGCATTTCGCTAAACTGCGTCACACACGCACACACTGCATTTGCACTACATTGCGTTGCATTCCCCATACACACACCTACACACACATATACATTTTTGCCGGGAGGCGGGGCAATATGAGATTGTACCTGTATGCGGCGAACAGGATACCGATCGCCTCTCCAAAAAAGGGTTGGATCAACACCGCTAGCACAAAAGCCACTGGGCATTCAACCGGGCGTGTGTAAGGGGTTTGCCTTGCACCGCGTGTCAGCAGCACTTGTGATATATCAACGACTCTGTGAAACCGCCCGATAGCAAATCAGACATATCCAATGACGGGCACAACTGCCCTGCGCACAAACCACTCACATCATCATGGAAAGAAAACATCGCAAGGGATTTGTCCACTGCTATCCCGCAGAGCGAATTCTTGAAATCCAGAAGTCCAGTCGCATACAGACGTTTCAGGCTTAGGTCAGATCAGTTGAAACGCTTCGGGGAAGAAGATCGACGCTTACGTGAGGATCCTTGGATCCTTGCTACAGTCAAGAATCAAGCCAACCCACGAGCACAGCTTCAAGACGACATACACCTCATCCTCAACGCTCAACGCACACGGTAACTCTCGGATCGCTGACCAAGAATCCCAAGAGGAGAAGTCAAGGACATCCCCGTGAAGAAACGCCCCAGAATTGATGACCCGCAACAGTGCGCATATCCTGTGTATCAAACGACTCATTCTTCTTCGATGATCCAGCTGTCCATGACAAGACAAAGGACCTTTTCAAGACCTTCATCCATGATTCATCCGTGCAGGATACTTCACACGCTTTGTCCATGGAAACCATGTATCCAGAATCGAGCTATTTGCACGTCACACATCCGAGAGATCCAAACACTGGGGGACAACATTCGGTGTGTTCAGATGTTCGACAAGACACAGCTGCCGAACCGCACCACTGATCATGTGGATCGAACCGTGAGATCATCACAACCACAATCGACAAACGAGCTCAAGGGCGAGATCCAAAAATGTCGGGAGTATCCCATGGACCAATTTCATGAACACCATGCCATCGAGCTGGATTGCCATTCGCAAGCATTGGAGTATTATCCGTTGAGGAAGATTTGCAGAAACATGTACGACCATTCCTCATGGAATATCGGCGCGATGCAATCACTGGAGACGGGAACAAATCCGTCAACGCATCAAGCAAGTTCCAGCAGGTATTCCGACCAGATCATGGACTGTTCAACATTGCGGCGCAGTCCATGCAGGACCGTAGCAAACAGCAAGAACATCACCCTTCACACCAAGAAAGGATCGGATTTTGACAGGACCACGTTCGTTTCGGCTGGGCAAAGACGAAGGATCAGCAAGATTGCCACGCAGCATGTCCGAGGAAGACAAAGATCAGTTCGAAAATGACTGTGGATTCGCCATTGCCAATTACCAAGTATATCTGCAGAGCCAGGTGCATCCCATGCACGCTGCATGCATTTTGCCTGCCATTTGCTTGCATTATTTCTATGTGTTGTCATTGTTTGCACTTGTTTTTAGGGTTTGAGTCCCTTCCAAATCCATACGCCATGCGTTCGACACGCATACGCAAGGCACACAACTAGCACGCAGAACGCAACTTTGTGCGCGTTCTGTGTGTCCAGTATGTCGGCGCGTCTGCATTTTGTGTACATGTTGTATTGCATTCTGGGTATACAACATGCATGCAAACGGCGTCCAACATGCATGCATGTGCTTGTCTGTAACTATTTTGTATGCATTTGTGGCGCATCTGCCTTGTTGGCTCTGGCATCTGCTTTCAGTTTACGTGTTGCGTGCACTTCGGCTGCCTTCAAGTTGGATTTTCGCATTTTCGCGGGACGTGTGCATTTTGTGCACGGCGCACCCTTTTGTTTGCATGTTGTATGGGTATTGTATGCGGATGCCTTCCACACACATGCAACATGCGTACGAAATGCACGCACAGGCAAACAACACGCACGCTGAGTCTGGGCGCCGTTTGTATGCATCTGCGGCATGCAGTTTTCTGTGCCAACATGAATCCAAACTGCATACAAATCATACAAAGGGCATACAACAAGCATGCAACACGCATTGGTGAGTGCGTATGTATTTGCTGTGTGCCTTTGCGTGCTGTATGCATTTTGGGCATGCACCATGACAAGCCAAAATGCAAACCACATGCATACAAAAGGCATACAAAGTACATGCGCAGTGCACGAAAAGCACCTGTTTCAAACGCGTGTGCAGTGTCGTGGCAAAATATGCATTCTCTCAAGCTTGCTTTTTTGCAAGTTGGAAGGTAGCAACGCCACAGCCAAGCATGCATACGAGGTGTATGCAGACACGCATGCTGCGCCAGAGCCAAAAATGCAAACAAGATGCACGCAATCATGCAGCACGCATGTTGCATGCCTCTTGCATGTGTGTTGTACGCATGTGCGTCTGGAAGAAATCCAGGCCAATATGCCTACAAACTGTGTAAAAGGCATAGACAAATCCGTGCACCCAATACAAAGTAACCACGAAATCAAGTTTCAAAGTACGAAAGGCACACAAGAATGTAGCATGCCTTTTGCATGCATTCCGTACACATTTGGTATCCCTTGCTTTGCTCTCCCTTTGCTTTCCCTTCGCACCCATGCGCACATGAACACGCAAACTGTGCATTCATTTCTCGTGCCTTTGTATGCATTGTCAATACTTTCAAAACACCAGGATACGCATAACGTTGCAATCATCAAACGCAAACAAACCATGTAAAAAAGCGCGTCCGAGGGACCCCCCCCCTGGCGAAACGCAGATGAAAAGCACGCAGGCATCAAAAACACTTGAAAAATACAAGGTTTTGGACACCCAGCACACCATGCCCAAAAAATGGCAGCCCCAAAAGCCTTCGGCTTTGATAAGAGATTCCGAAGAAAGACCAAGTTGCGGACTGCCATCTACACGCTCGACTGGCCGCGGATTTCTTGGAAGTCTATTTTTGGGGTGTTTGAGGGGGTTGCTAGTATCTGCTTTTGATGGTTGATTTTGGGGAATATCAAAAAACCCTGCTTTTTTGCACTTTTTTGTGGCCAGCCGGCTGCATTCCCAGCATTCCCGACCTTGAAATTGTACGTTGTGTGGCTGTATCCCTTGCATGTCCAGCATCCCCAGCATCACTTCCAGGAAAAAAAGACAAAGGTCTTAAAATCCCGTGCAACCCACCGGCGTCGGCGGATCGCGTAGCGATTTCAATAACAAACAAAACAACACTTGCGCACAAACGCAGCATGCATGTTGCACGCCTGACCTGCCTATGCGCAGGACATGCAAACAAAATGCAGTTTGAAGGCATACCAAGCGCATGCAAACCCTTCACCACCTTCGGTAAGTTATACTGGCCGCCATGTTCGGAGAACCAAAACCAATGCGCACTTTGGGGATCAGCTCCTAGTCAGAACACAGGAGCAACAAGATCAACAGCGCCTTCTTTGGAGTATCATGTTTGTCTTTGACCCATGACTCCCTCTGCCAGCTTCGCGCACGCGCCGGCGCCTTGACGTCCTCTGCCTGCATAGGCACCACCTGACACGAAGTACTCAGGTCAGGGTCTGTCCCCCTTCACCAAGGGCTTGCATTCGAAGAAGTGGACAAACCCGGGTCTTTCCTTTGCAGGAGTGGACAATCTACGATTTGGATCCAACAGCATCTTTACAGGCTCGCGGAAAAACAAAGGACGTTTCAGGGTTGCTTTCTTTGAAAGAAAGCCATAAGGCATGTTCAAGTATCACCAGGTGATTGAGGGCCTCTAAATGGGTCCAGGGTCTTCTTGAAACCAAAAGCGCTGTGCCCTGGCGAAGTTTTCTCCCGCCAATTTTCCGGCAGAAAACAAAGTCCAACGTCGCCTGAGGGGGCTTCCTCTGGAGCCACGACCCCACAGACCTCAGCCAGGACTCGTGAATCGCGCGTGAATCGCGTGGGAGAACTGAAGTGACACGGGTGTCTCTGTTTGAGGACACCTCTTTTGTTCAGAAACCAAACAGAAACCAAAAAGAACACCACAACTTGCGACCGAAAGACACGCCCTATACAAATCTGTTTGGGCCTGGAGGCCTAGCCAAGGCGAACGACGAAAACCGGCACAAAGTCAAGAGGCAAGCTATATACTATAGATCCAAGTGGACACGTCTCAAGCGCCCAGCGGGGTGAACTTGAACGCCGGCTTCTCCGGCATCTGGAATGAGGATGGGACAGTGGCTAGTGGCTGTACATTCCACTAAACCCCTGAACAGTTGGGGTAGCAAGATCTCCACTAGAAAGAGCTTGTTTATATAGCAGTTTTCCCAAGATAGGTTCCCTTCAACAACTGACCTGCCATGCAACAAGAAGTCCACAAATGTTGCGGTTGCCAAAACCACTCTCCCGAGAAGCATCAAGTCAAAATACCGGGCAGTGCGATAGGAGCCAGAAATAATTGGTGCCCGTTCGGTATCCATTCATCCTTTGCAGCAGCCCCCAATTCCAGCAACAACAGCACCAACCTCCCCGCTCGGCGTGTAACCTCAAACTATCCTGAAAAGGCTGCATGTGCGCTTTGGGCACTGATGGGCGCGACAGAAAACAGAGAACTGTAAATAGACATGGATGTGGCTCAAACATAGGAATCGGCCCGACTTGGAACGCTGAAAAATGAAACAGTAGACTAAAACCTTGTCCCACTGGCTCTTAAATTTTGAGCCACGCCCATATGCCAAGGTGAAAGGTTAACTAAACAGATGCTCGCCTTTGCTTACGAACGATGGTCTGACATTCGCGGCGGGACGACTGGTACATGGTTCGATGCCTGGATGTACAGGAGCAAATGGCCGATTGGCCGACTGAGTGATTGGGTACCAGCACTCCCCTTGCCCAGCCGTTCGGTCGCTGTGTTTTGCCGCTGGGTGTCATGTTCTCTGCTGTGGAAGTGGCATGCTAGGCGCCAACGTTGCGCGAACTCAAAAGCACATGAAAGCATCAAAATTGGACCCACCAGAGGGCGCAGTGAGTTGATCAGTTTCAAAACCGAGGTGCGTGATTCAGGCGAGTTGAGCTTCTCCCGGACACTCAAACAGCAGCGACCGCCAACTTTCGGCGATGATTATAGCTCTCACGGCAAGCGCCCCAGTGACTCCTTGCCTGAATCCGTAGTTCTTCCACCTTGCTGTCCTGACCCGGGTTGCACAGCGACGGGAGGAATTGGAACGCGCTTGGCAGCTGTTAAGCGCTAGATATGTCTGCTAATATAAACCTGGGTTGCCACTTTGGGGCAGTTTCCAAGCGTAATCCCAGGGTTCAATTGAGAGCACGGTCAGAACTTGCAACTCTGTGCTGGAAATAAGCGCACACATGCGCGAGCAAATGGACAGCGGCAAGGCTTTTCACGAAAGGCCTGGCACTCCACTTCTTTGCCCATCAAGTGGATGAGATGCACTCATCATTTCCCTCTAAGTCATATAGCCATAAGTCCCGCGCAGACAGGTTTGCCAACTGACCTGGCAAACAAAGAAAAAAGGGAGCCCTGAATGGTAAGGACCATGAAGAACTGTTGCTGCTGGGGGGAGCTCCCTCAGAACGTACCTTAAATAGGCACCCTCTTTGAGGACAAACGGGCACATGATGGTGTCTAACTGCAGGCGAATCGCTTGATGCTGATTCTGGAAAAATGGCGCCAAACCTATATCTTGAATGGCTTCCTCCACTGCCAATCCACAGGCGCCATCTTTCACAAGCGCTCCCATCGTTTGATCGTTTGCCTGTGCCCACTTCTTCTGAGCCTTGATGTTGTTGCGATTGGATTCCCCATCCCCCTACGTAGAAATGCTTGTAGCTGCCAACCATCGGCTTCCGATCTGGCATGGTGCGCTTGGGATACCAAATGGATGTCTAACTTTCTGTGAGGATACCCCTTTTGTGTGGTTTTACCGGGAAACCAAAGGAAACCAAACATTTTAGGGGTTCCCCTATTTGAGACAAACCCATATCCCTCGCGATGTCTAGCGAATCATTGCCGCCTTTGGACTCAGAATGAAAATTAAGCACGTGCACTCCTGCATCTAGTAAACAACAGGGAAACACACAAACATACAGGGAACCCAGGTTTTGGAAAGTTTCGGTGAGTTGTGCCTAGAGCAAACATACTTTCGAAGCTGGTATCTGAATTCCTGTTCTCGCTCCGTGGCGACATTCGGCAAAACTCAGTCGATTTGGCGTAACTTTCAGCATTTTGCTGGGGACGGCACGTAAAATCGGTCAAGATCGGTCACATTCATCCCAACAGCGTTGGCCCCGCTTCTGACACCCATCCCAACATCCTGACAGCATGACAGCGCCCAGTCATTGGTCAGCCAGTCCGTCCGTCTGTCCAGTTGGTTTTGTCGTGGGCAAGCTGGCTAGTTCGCCATTTCATGAAACTCAGAAACCAAAGCCCTGCAAAAACGTAGGTCCGACTTTTTGAGGAAAATCCGCGGTTTTTGCGGGAACCCGGTTTACCAATTTACAACTTAACCACAAGGGACAATGGGGCATCATCGCCCCGTGATTCTTGAAGAGGAAGACAACAAGTACAACGCAAGCACACACGCACATTACTGTAGCAAGTGAATCCTGCATGTCGCTCATTTAACCACTGCAATGGCATTCACAACATTCCATAAATGGCTCTCGGATTCTGCCCAGAACGTGGCCTTTGCGGCCTTTGGCTTTCCCTCTGATAAATCCGCTACGTGCAGAAGAGATGCTTTGCATGTTTTTTGCGACCAGGATGTCTAAATGATTAGGGGCAATGGTTCTACTTTCTAAGCCAGAAAGGGAAAGTGCGGCAACCCGGCAACCCGCTCAAATCAAAAAGCCACCATCTTTGAAGAGGTGACCCACTTCTGCAACCAAACCTCTTTGGCATATCGTTGGTCCCTGTCAGAGGGCAGGCCGGGCTCGCGAGATTGGGCCCCGTAAAATCTGGTTTCCGTTCGTTCGAGCAAGGTGTGTTCAACCAAAACCACACGCATGCCCCGGGTCCAGCCTGGCAGCCTCCCAGCTCGTGTGAGGGGCCTGGCCACAAAGCCAAGAAGCGAACCGATCATAGAACGCAGGGGGTCCTTGCTCACATGTAAACACCCGCTTGTCCCCTTGACCCCGCTTGTGAACATGAACCACACTTTGTCCATCGAGTTTGAACATGCTTAAACGACCTGGTTTAAACTTGTTCAGACGTGCCCCGTGCATCTCTCATGTCTCCTCGGACCTTGCTAGCGCCGCTGTCGTGGGAACGTTTCGACCTTGTTTACACACGTTGCAACACTCCGTTCAAATCTCTCGGACCTTCGCAAGAGGAAATAGGTGGGAAACAGTTGATTGTTCGAAGTCGCTTAAACGTGCCCTACACCCCTCTCTTCGGACCTTGCAAGGGGAGGTGAGCTCCGACCAGCACCAGTGTGTTGGGCCCTTGGAGAAAACAAGGCTTCTCAGGCGTTAGTTTTATCCACGCAACGCTCCCGCCACTCTGCGGCATTGACAAGGCTCACCTACACAACACAAGGCTGCATGTGTAGACAAACCAGTTTGAAGCCCTGTTCCAACGGACAAAGGGCAAGTTGCGTTTTGCTTCATGGCCATGTTGACGTACCCCAAACAGTGTGGCCTTTCATGAATTTCAAGCGTGGGCCCGAAACGGTCGAAAATACAAGTTTTGAGGCGGTTCCTACTCTTGAAATTCACAGCCACAAAGTGGCTCGTAAGTGGGGGTCCTGGGTATTTGAAAACTCCATTCAGCGGTGACCCTTTTTGATGATGATGAGACGTGGACATGGGCGGGGAGGCCAGACCAACCCGTGTAGCATTTGTTTTTTTATCACCCAGTGACCCCGGCCTCCCGGGCTCTCTAGCTGGACGACAGTTGAGGTGGAAGAGGCCTGCGCTGGATCAACGGTTGCTAATTGGGGGTCTGTCTACAGGTCTGTCGCTCCGTGTCCTTCAAGATCAAAAGGGAAAAACCACCGTGGTCCAAGACCACTGCAGTTGTGACTATATGCGTTGGGAGCCTGGGAGCCACTCTCCTGTTCATGCGCCACCTTATGTTACTCCCCTGAAACCTCTGTGCTACAGAGATGCCCCAACCCACTAAGACTTGCTGGTTTGGAGGTGTAATCTGAAAGTGGCACTTACCGATTCAAAGTGAACTTCAATTGTACTTCCGATGAGTCTACCTCCGATGAGTCAGAAGCAGCGTGCGTTCTCTTTGTCTCAGAGCAGAAACAGGCTTGATGTTCCAACCTTTGTCAGGCTCCCCCCAAAAAGAAACCTGATAGAAGCCACGAACCCGAATGCAGACACGAAAGCGGACTCTTGTCACATCTCGCGTCGCAACTCTAGTCTCACGTCTCTGGTCACTTCTCTAGTCACGCCTTTGGTCACGTCATTTGTCACGTCTCTCGTAGCAACTCTGGCCACGTCTCTCGTCATGACTTTTGTCAAACCTTTCATCATGTCTCGCCGCGCCTCTCGTCACGACTCTGTCACATCTCCCATCACGTCTTTCTTGGCGACTCCCGTCATGTCTCTTGTCATGTGATTCGTCACCCCTCGAGTCGCGTCTCTGGCCTTTTATCACGTGTCTCGCGGCGCCTGTCGTCACGACTCCGTCGCGTTTCCCGCCGCGTCTTTCTTGGCGACTCTCGTCGAGTCGTCGGCCCTCGCGCCACGTCTCTTGTCACATCTCTTGTCACGTCTCTGGTCCAATCTCGTCACGTCTCGCCACATGTATCGCCACGTAGAGTATATGGCTATTCCTCCTTTTGTGTATAGTCACGTCTCTGGCAGCGTCTCAAGTCACGTCTCTGGTCATGCCCCTTGTCAGCTTTCTTGTAACAGCGTCTCTTGTCATCTTTGACAAAAGACGTTTGAGAAGAGACGTGGCGAGGGTCGTGACAAGAGGCGTGACCAGAAACGTGACGCGAGAGGCGACGACGCACGCGACAGGATCTCCAAGAAAGACGCGACGGGAGACGCTACGTAGTCGTGACGAGAGGTGTGTCGAGACACGTGATGAAAGTCATGACGAGAGACGTGGCCAGAGTTGTTGCGACAGACGTCATGAAAGGACGTGACCACAGAAGTGTCTAGAGGCGTGACGATGGATGTGATGGGTGTGACAAGAGACATGCGAGGAGAGTCGCGACAAGACGCGAGATAAGGCGTGACCAGAGACGTGATGCGAGATGCGACAAGAGATGTGACAAGGATCGTGACGCGAGCGAGAGATTGCCAGAGACAGAACGGCAAATATGACAAGAGACGTGTGAGAAGAGACGTGGCGAGGGTCGTGACATCTTGCAAGAGACGTGACCAGAGACGTGACGCGAGGGAGGAGACGTCTCCAAGACGTGATGGGAGACGCTACGTAGTCGCGACGAGAGGCGCCTTGAGACACGTGATGCAAGATGCGATGATGATGAAAGAGGTGACGATTGTCATGATGAGAGACGTGGCCAGAGTTGTTACAAGAGATCTGACGTGACCAAAGACGTGACTATAAGAGACGTGACCAAGGAAAAACAAGAGACGTGACAAGAGACGCTTCTACGAGAAAGCTGTGACAAGGGGCATGACCAGAGACGTGACTTGAGACGCAGAGACGTGACTATACACAAAAAAAGGAATAGCCAGTACTCTACGTGGCGATAAATGTCATAAGAGACGTGTGAGGAGAGACGTGACGAGATTGAACCAGAGACGTGACGAGAGATGTGACAAGAGACATGACGCGAGGGCCGAAGACTTGTGCGTGACAAGAGGCGCGACGAGAGTCGCCAAGAAAGACGCGGAGGGAAACGCAACGGAGTCGTGACGACAGGCGCGGCGAGACACGTGATAAAAGGCCAGAGACGCCACTCGAGGGGTGACGACTCACATGACAAGAGACATGACGGGAGTCGCCAGATAGGTGACCAGAGACGTGACTATAGAACTATAGAAACAAGAGTCCGCTCTCGTGTCACGTCTCTGGTGGCGTTTCAAGTCACGTCTCTGGTCATGCCCCTTGTCAGCTTTCTCGTAACAGCGTCTCTTGTCACGTCTCTCTTTTTTCCTTGGTCACGTCCCTTAGTCACGTCTTTGGTCACGGCCTTTGTCGCGTCTTAGCTAAGAACGTATCTTGTCACATCTATCGTCACGTAGCTAGTCACGCTATTGGTCACGTCCCTTGACAGGTCTCTTGCAACAACTTGATCTGGCCACGTCTCGCGTCATGACTTTCATCACATCTTTCATCATCACATCTTTCATCATCACATCTTCCATCACGTGTCTCGACGCGCCTCTCGTCGCGACTACGTAGCATCTCCCGTCACTTCTTTCTTGGAGACGTCTCCTGTCACGTGCGTCGTCGCCCCTCGCGTCACGTCTCTGGTCACGTCTTTGGTCACGACCCTTGCCACGTCTCTTCTCACACGTCTCTTGTCATATTTGCCATCCCGTCACTGGTAACCCCTCGCGTCACGTCTCTGGTCACGTCTCTTGTCACGACCCTTGCCGCGTCTCTTCTGAAACGTCTCTTGTCGTATTTGCCGCCCCGTCTCTGGCAACCTCTCGCGCCACGATCCTCGTCGCGTCTCTTGTTGCATCTCTTGTCACGTCCCTCGTCACGGCTCTCCTCTTGATCCACCTCTGGTCCCGTCTCTTGTCACGTCTTTGGTCACGTCCTTTGTCACGTCTATCGTAACAACTCTCGTCCCGTCTCTCGTCATCACTTTCAACACATCTCTCATCATGTGTCTCGACGCGTTTCATGAGACGAGTCCGTCACATCTCCCGTCCTGTCTTTCGTGGTCTTTCTCATGTCTCCAGCCACGCCGAGTATCGGGCTATTCCTCTTTTCTTATAGTCACGTCTCAGGTGACGTCTCTGGTCATGCCCATTGTCAGGTTTCTCGTAACAGCGTCTCTTGTCACGTCTCTCTTTTTTCTTCTCTTAGTCAGGTCTTTGGTCACGTCCTTTGTCGCGTCTCACGTAAGAACGTTTCTTGTCACATCTATCGTCACGTAGCTAGTCACGCTTTTGGTCACGTCCTTGACAGGTCTCTTGCAACAACTCGATCTGGCGTCTCGCGTCATGACTTTCATCACATCTGTCATCATCACATCTTCCATCACGTGTCTCGACGCGCCTCTCGTCGCGACTACGTAGCATCTCCCGTCACGTCTTTCTTGGAGACGTCTCCTGTCACGTCGTCGCCCCTCACGTCACGTCTCTGGTCACGTCTCTGGTCACGACCCTCGCCACGTCTCTTCTCACACGTCTCTTGTCATATTTGCCGTCCCGTCACTGGTAACCTCTCGCGTCACGATCCTCGTCACGTCTCTTGTCGTTCACGTCTCTGGTCACGGCTTATCTCGCGTCTCGTCAAAACTCTCCTCGCACGTCTCTTGTCACATCCATCACATGCATCGTCACGCCTCTGGTCACGTCTTTGGTCACGTCCTTTGTTACGTCTGGCGTAACAACTCTGGCCACATGACTTTCATCTTGTCTTACATCACGTGTCTCTACGCGCCTCTCGTCACGACTACGTAGCATCTCCCGTCGCGTCTTTCTTGATCCTGTCGCGTGCGTCGTCACCCCTCGCGTCACGTCTCTGGTCCTCGCCACGTCTCTTCTCAAACGTGTCTTGTCATATTTGCCGTCCCGTCTCTGGTAACCTCTCGCGCCACGATCCTCGTCACGGGTCTTGTCGCATCTCTCGTCACGTCTTCTCGTCACAGCTCTCCTCTTCTCACATTCATCGTCGCCTGTCTGGTCACGTCTGTTGTCACGTCTTTGGTCACGTCCTTTGTCGACAACTGACAACGACAACTGACAACTGACAACGACAACTGACAACGACATCGACCACATAAACAAGAACAACCATAATAGGAAAATGAACCAGCCCCAGGTGATTTCCTGGGGAAGCAACAGCTACTGATGCTCTGATTGTAAATGTTTGCATCCGCTGGAAATTGAAGCATTCGAAACAATTTGAACAGGCTTCCCTGGCCATTCCAAAAAAACAAAGCATACACACACAAGGTCAAAGGCTCAATCTATGAACCCATGTGCAAACACTTTGTCCCTTTGTTTTGGACGGGCCCCTTCAACATCAGTCAACAAGAAAGGGTAAGCCTTGCCTGACGCCCTCCGGGCAAAGCTGGGAATACGAACCCCATGTTTGAACCGTTTCTCGGGCAGCGCCGAGTTTTGGTTCGCTCAAATGAGCCTTCTTGAGAACACGTGTAATTGAACATGTATCTTTGTATAATGCCAATAAATAATAGACGCTTACAAGGTTCGACTTGGTTGAATGATAGATACACCATAAACAAATTATAATAATGCATAGTCTGAACAATCATACTGTTAATTACTATGGTTTAAACACATATTTGATATTATTCTGTATCGACAACATGTAAACTGTAAGCGAATCATTTTGCAATAAGCATGACTTAAAGCTTGTCTCCAAATGGGGAGCCCTTAAAATGAGTTGTTCCCTTTCAACCGAATTGACGCTCCAAAAAGGTGAGCAAAAAGACCAAACAAAACCCAACCAAATAAGACTAATTAACCACTCCAAAGGGGCGACCCCCCACAAATTTATGTGGAAAAGCGGGCTTCCTTGCAGAATGGACGGTTTCGGGGGCTCATCAAAGGGTGACCCTCCGGGTTTCCTTCCCTTGCCATGAGGGCTCCCTCAGTTTGGAACTCGTAGCGACTCGCAGCCCATTGCGGGAGCCAAGCAAACAAACACAGACTCGCAGTCGCCTTGGGCCGTCGCATCTGTGGGCTCCGGGCCTCTGCCTCGGACTTGAGGTCGTTCTGATCCGCCAAGCTGTTCGTATCCAAATCGCCTAGAGTCGAGGGGCTGGTTCTTCCAAGATGGTTTCCACATGCAAATTGAAGCTACTGGACAACACGACCTCTATATGACTATATGAAAGGTATATCCCCTCAACTGTAGTTATTGATTTGCCAATAGACGAGGGTTTATACACCTGGAGCTCGCATTATCAGCTTGCCCCGTACTGGACTAAAAGGTGCAGGGGGGAAATCGTTGACCCTTCCAATCCCTCAAAACGATGTTCGCATATGGGTTCGTATAGTCGGCCTTTGATTTTGTGTGATTTGTGTGTAGTGCTTTATTTTCGGTTGGCCAAATCCGTTGAAAGCTGCCTTTTTGCTAGATTCTTCACTTTCCAGCGGGCGCAAACGTATAGAAACAGCGCGTCGGTAGTTGTTGCTTCCTTCAGCATGGCCCTGCATGGAGTTGGGTTGCATGAGCCTTGTCGCTGTAGGGATCGCACGCCTCGGTTGGGTGTCCAGGCCCTTCGCAGGAGGAGCTAGGAGAGTGAGGGACAGGGTGGGCTTTGCCCTGCAACCACCATACCAACCCTGAAAGGCGTTGGTTCTACCCCAAACAGAGCGGAAGGGGCGCATCCTGATTATCGTACACAGGTGCCACAATACGCTATTCCATTCTCCCGTTCCGACAGTTTGCTTTGTTTTCCCCAACAGCTGAAAGTCAAGGGGAGGTGCAGCAAAAATGGTGGAGGTGCTGGGCGGTCTCCAAAATCAAAATCCTTGCTTTCACGGGGCCAGTCAGGTGTCCGCCTGCATCACCAAAGAGCCACTCCTGACAAGCCGGTTGCGGGCACCAAGTTTTAGTTCAGCAAAGATTCCCACCAAAAAACGGCAAAAGAGGCTGTGACTGGTTTAAAGCATGCTCAAGCCAAAAAAATACAAAAGGAATCAACAGTAGCAGATTCTGACTTCTGGGTTGGTTGATGGGGATGGGAGAATGAGTCGTGTCTCCTCCAACACATCTACCAGTGTGAGTTGGAGCCTTCTCGGCCGCCAAAAGGTGCCATCAACTCTCGACTAAACCCAAGCCCTGTTCCATCTCAATCCAAAATAACTATCTCTGTCCAATGGCCACAGGCAACCGGGTAGAACCTTCAGCGCCGATTGCATGGAACCCAAAGAAAAACCCAACAACCCCCTACTTGTTCAGCAAGTTCAACCCCTTCGGCGGTCATGAGAACGAAGCACCCAATGACGACTAAAAGGACACAACCGAAAGCCTGCTTACCTTGTTCTGCCAGCATCTCAGTTGCCTCCAACCTGTACTGAGTCGTCTTCTTACTCACCGGAAACCAACTCACGCAACTAGAACAGAACACGTGCAAAGGTTGTTCAAGCAGGGGATTCCGTTTCTGTTTGTTTTGCTGAACCCTTTCCCCTCCAATGTCTTAAGGCATGAACACGAAACCGGCTATAACACGACTTTTGACTAGACAACTGCAATGAGTGTGAATGTAAAAGAAGCCCTTTCCTTAGCATAGACGGCAGCAAATCCAAGGAGACGCACAACCAGCACAATCCACAATCAGTGCATTTGCAACACGGACTGCTTCCTAGGTTTGTGACAAACACGTCCATATTCAAGCGGCTGCACTGTGTTGTTTTTGGTTGTATACTTGGATACTGAGAGGCCAAACATTTCCAGGGGGAACGCATCATCAAGCCAGCCTCCACCTCGGAATCAGCCTGCAAGCCAAAGCAAAAAGATTACGAGGGCATGTTTGGCTGTACGTTTGGGAACGCGAGTGGCTCCCAGCCACGTCTATGTGGGCGAAACGTCTCTTCCGTTTTGACAAGCAATTTCTGTCCCTATGGCCTCGGCCGCATGACACTGACATTCGGGATTATGCAGTTTTTGTCAACATGTTGCTGAACAACAATCCGGCTGTCCGCGGCCACTGTCCAGCAAATACGACCACATGCGCAAAGGTCCCAAAAATGGCTCTTCTATGTGTGCGAGTGAGAATCAGCCTCGTTGGAGAGCAGCGGAGGTAATGTACTTCAGGGGCCTCCTACAATAAAGTCTTGTTGCCTCGCCTAGCAAAACAAACTAGAGGACGATTGGCCCGAAAGCATTTTCCCAGGTGCTCATCCAGCCGCGGAGACACCTTTTTACATCGCTGCGGCGAGCGTGTCTGCGCGCGGCGATGCTCAATGTGTATGGTCACATGAGAGCTCCATCTCATCATCCTAGTTTCCTCTCGAACTGCGCCGCGCGATTTCTCACGAAAGTGGTCTGCGCAAGCTGCATTGTTCCAGGCTGCTGCGCGCAAGTTGCTCTCTGCAAGCTGCTGCACGCAAGTGCTCTGTGCAAGTTGCTCTGCGCAAGTGCTCTGAGCAAGTTGCTCTGCGCAAGTGCTGCCGGAGCTGTGGGAATGTACTTAAAAGTTGCGATTTTCCAGCCGGAGCTGCCGCGGGAATCGAACCCGCGACCGCGGGATTGCGAAAGCAGGCGCGCGAGCCACGAGACAACTTCCAAAGGCCATTTCGCGAGCAACAAATTCGCACGGCGCCACAGCGAGAGCGCTTCGACACGCACGATCCCCGCAGAGGGTCGCGCGCGGCTTGCAGAAATCGAAAAAGTCCTCAGTTGTTTAACCTCGACCACGCGAATCTCCGCAGAGGGTCGCGCGCGCGCCGCAGAAATCGAAAAGATCCTGCAGTTTTTTTAAACCTCGACCACGCGGAATCTCCGCAGAGGTCCCGCGCGGCGCAGAGCCGCAAAATCGTAAAAAATTCCTCAGTTTTTGTTAAAACCTCGACCACGCGAATCTCCGCAGAGGGTCGCGCGCGCGCCGCAGAAATCGTAAAAAGTCCTCAGTTTTTTAACCTCGACGACGCGAATCTCCGCAGAGGGTCGCGCGCGCGCCGCAGAAATCGTAAAAAGTCCTCAGTTTTTTAACCTCGAACACGCGGATCTTCGCAGAGGGTTGCGCGCGGCCCACGGAAATCGTGAAAAGTCCTCAGTTTTTGAACCTCGACCACGCGAATCTCCGCAGAGGGTCGCGCGCGTGCAGAAATCGTAAAAAGTCCTCAGTTTTTTAACCTCGACCACGCGAATCTCCGCAGAGGGTCGCGCGCGCACCGCAGAAATCGTAAAAAGTCCTCAGTTTTTCAACCTCGACCACGCGAATCTCCGCAGAGGGTCGCGCGCGCGCCGCAGAAATCGTAAAAAGTCCGCAGTTTTTTGACCTCGACCACGCGAATCTCCGCAGAGGGTCGCGCGCGGCTTGCAGAAATCGTAAAAAGTCCCCAGTTTTTTAATATCGACCACGCGGATCTCCGCAGAGGGTCGCAATCCCGAGCGATGATCAAACTCCCGCCCCGGCGCCTTAGAAACCTAAACTAACTTACATAGCTGCTTACGCCGAAGCTCTACGCAAGCTCTACCTAACCTTGGCTCTGTGCCACTTGGCTCTATGTAACTTGGCTCTATGTAACTTGGCTCTATGTAACTTGGCTCTATGTAACTTGGCTCTTATGTCTATGTAACTTGGCTCTATGTAACTTGGCTCTAAGTAACTTGGCTCTGTGCAACTTGTCTGTGTAACTTGTCCAAGGGCTCCGCACGGAAGAACCTTCGCGATGCTTTCGGGAAAAACGGCCGGCGCAATGTCCTCTTATCTCGTTAAATAAGGACAGCCCAGGTGATGCTGGCGAAGCTTTAGGCTTTGTCGTTTGATTTGGGCCTGCTCTTCACAACATGCAAAATGTTCAGCTTCCCCAAACTCAAATGTTCTACATGTCTCTTGTTTAAAAACTGCCCACAATCAATCCCACAATCCAGGGGCCACCAACGTGCCTTTAATCAGGGACCCCTAAAATACAGTCTTGTTCCGCCCCCCGTCAAAATCTCAAAGGAAGCTCCAGCAATGCTGATTTGGAGAAGATGGGATGTCCTACAGATGTGCGGGAAACACAATGCCTTCACTCTGGGACACATGCCGACAAGAACGCGCCATGAGACTGGAATCTGCAGTAAACGTGTGTTTTGCAATTGTCACCAGACCCCCAGGTAAGAGACAGGCGCAGCCTTAAACCTGTCCTCGGACCTCCCAACCTCAAAAGCCTAGCAACCCAGCGTACTCATTCTGGAATGTATAAAGCTGAGCTTTGTAAATCCGCGCCATCACTGTCATTTCGGGGCTGGTCGTCTCCCGACCTAAACTTGGGAAAGGCCGCTCTGGCCCCCAAATTGTTCTACCATTCTGGTGGGTCACCAACATTTGGGGTCGGCCCTTTCATCAGTTACCATGATGGCTTGCCAAAGTGAACCTGCATCGACCGGCCCAGCCCACAGAGATCGCAGCCAAAGCCCCTGGTGCCTCCAGACTCGTCTCGTACGAAAACGACCTTGCCCAAGCCAAAACCAACAGGAGCGGCGTTAACCAAAGCGGCGGGCTAAACGATCCTTGGGGCAAAGGGGAATGAGTCTTAGCAGGCATTCCTCCCTGCTATCAACAAAAAAAGGGTCAATCGAGGCCTGGTGACTTGAACAGTTCCGCCCAAAACCCAATGGTAAAGAGTCAAAAGGGCCGAAGGCTTTCTGCACCTAGCTCATTGCCAACGATCCGACTATTCTTCACCACCTGGCTTTGATTCGCTCAGCGGATGCTTGGGGGGAGTGTCCATTCCTGCAAACAACAAGTTCAAGGCTTCACATGCCCTTTCAAATTTGAGAAGTCTCGTGAAGTTGCCATCATGCTCGCTGCCATTGAGGAACTGCCCAAGGCTTTGAAGAGAAAGAACAGGCCAAATGCTTTCCACTTTGGAAACACTCTGGAAACCATTGAACATCCCATGCGCCCTATGCACTCTAAGTCCAATGCTGTTTTCTGATTCAACGCGCTCGCATAGCTCCCGCTATAATTGTTCCGCTTGGTTGTTCAAGGATGTTTAGGCCCGCAAAAAAGTAGAAAGTGCGTGGAGTCTCTGTTGCGATTGTTTAAATTTAGGTTTCTGTTAGATATGGGTCCTGGAGCCGTTTTATCTCTGAATGGACACGAAATGGAAACCCAACAGTGCCCAAATCCATTTGTCCGCACCCCTTTGCTCAGTTCCAGGGCGGTTGGGGGAGGGGGTCTTTGCACGACTACTTTGTTCAAAACATGGATGGCCAAACACTGCAAGGGACCTTGGATTTGTGCCACGAAGATGCACACAGGTGGGGCAAAGATATGGCTGCTTCAAAAATCGGGTTGCTTGAGCAATCGCGCGGCGATGTGCGTCCCTCTCACGCCGCCAAGGCGCCGCTCTGTGCGTGAGTCCCGGATAACCGCCGAGGGTGGCGGGGAGCACCACTGCCTGAGCAAGAGGTTCAGTGCACGAATCTGTCCCGAATTGATTTGCGCTTGTGGCTCAACTTCTGAAGGCGTCTCTTAAGGGGTGCTAGGATTGAACATGTCAACCGGATGTTCAATCCCAGCGGATTGGCTCATTGAATTGAACAATTGCTTTTGTTCAATTGCAGTTTCTGATCCACATAAACGACTGAAGCAGGTTGTCTGGAGAAGGTTGCATCGTGTTGTACTGGGATTGGATGGTGCATTATGGGGCATGTGAAGGGCGCGCTACGCGATGAGCGGGCCTAAGGGCCTGGCCCCCACCCCCGTCGCCACGCCAGGATCTCCTCCGTGCCCGGGCGGAGGTCCTGCTCCAAGAACATGGAGAGCGCGTCCTCCAGCTGGACATTGAACTCAAGAAGCTTTCACATTTGGGTCGCCGATTTCTCCCCGTTTGCGTGCTTTTGCTCATTGGCCTTTTCATTTTGGTCGTTACCTCAACATAGTCGGGGCTTGAGGTGGAGTCGGAAAAACACTCTCTTGATTTTACTGGCAAACATAGGCGGGGATGAGGGGGTCGGGAAGCACACTCTTCGACCCTCGCTTGCTGGGTCACTTTCACCTGTCACTGCTGGTCTCGCGAAACACGCTGCTCTAACGCCGCACACATATCTGGCGCGGCCGTGCAAGAAAGCAAACATGAGGATCAAAACAAGTCACCAACTTGGACCAAAACCAGTACGCACCCCTCCAGAAGCGGGCTGGACCAGGCCTCGTCCAAATAGACCTGCACAGCGAAGCGATTCCGCCACCATGTGCACATGGGATTTGTCATGTCGGGGGCCGATGTGTTCAAGCGCAAAAACACCCGGAAAAAATGTGTGCCCCAACTGGATGACCGATGCTCAAGCAAGATCACTCCTCTTGTGCCGCTGTGACACGCGTGTGCTACAGATAGTATGATCATACCTGCGACTTCCGGAAGGTGGTTTTTTGCCGCTTGCGAAAAGACATTTGTCTTCGCGAAGAACGAAAGCGCCGTTTGTCTTCAAAACGGCCATTTCAAAGCATGCCACTCCGAAGGTCGCCCAATGAGACGGGTAAAATTGCCGCAAAATGTCGTTTCGCCAAAAAGCATGCCATCTCGATGGGGAAAACATTGCTGTTAACCAAGCAGCAGAAAAATGCACCCTCCAGGAAGCCACAGGTATGCCTCTTGCGAACCTGCGTTTTCATCTACAAATCAGCTCCACAATACGAGTACCGTTGGCGCCATTGTGACACCAAACGAGTAACACGTGTTTCTTCAGAGGAACATGCGTTCAAAGGTCGTGCCGAATGCAAGGAAGGAGTAGAACAAACTCAACATGTGCGATCTTAGTTGTTCCACAGCAATCAATATGGGACAAATGTAGCCTTAAAATAAACAGTTTGTGAGGGATTGAATTTGTAACCATAGTATAAAAATGACTGAAATTCAGGCCCCACCCACCCCTGGACATGTGGCTGTCAGATGGGGGGCTGCGGCCCACGCCACGCCACCAGGAGGAAGATGCCAGGCGGTCTTGTCGGTGTCTTCGTTGTGGAAGTAAAATTTACCTGGGAGCAAGCAGTCAGAAGCTGCCAAGCTTCAGCGCGTTGAACAGTGCTCGAGCTCCAAGTATATGTAAAAGCGTGCCTCAATGACTACGACTGCACTGGGCTTCTTGCCCTCCTCTGTGCGCCACAGAGTCCAATACGTAGGTGCCTCCTGCGCAGCATGCGGCAAGCAACTCGCGCAACCCTCGGACTTTCGGTGGATAGACCATAAACTCGCGGTGTGGTTTGTGTGGTTTCAAAAAGCAAGGGAAGGAAAAGGGAAGGAAAGAGAGAAGAAAAGAGAAAAGGAAGGGAAAAGGAAAGGAGGGAGGGGCAGACAAGGAAAGGAATTGAAAGGAAAGCGCTTGAAAGGAAAGCAATTGAAAGAAAGTCGTTTGAAAGCAGAGCAATTGAAAGGAAGCAATTGAAAGCAAACCAATTGAAGCGAAGGAAAGGGAATAAAAGGAGAAGAGAGAAGAACAGGGCTCCGGGCTCCCTATTCCCCTGAAAATAAGCAGCTTCCATGGGCCAAAAAGGCGACGATTAAAACCGGCCGTCTCTTTCTTCGGACTGCACGTGAGCGCAGCCCGAGTCCGTGCTCCTTAGCGCGGCGCCCGAAGGCGCTCTTTGTGAAACCTCCGTCTAGTCCACTGTGACTCGACGGTATCCCCTTGCAAAGGATGCGAATGTCTGCAACCAAAGTGAGCAGGTCCCCAATGACAGGGCAACCTGCCTTATTGCGAAGCGCTTGCGTGCCTGGAAGAAAACCGAGGGCCCGGAGGCTTTGAGGTCTGCTGCAATTGTCGCAAGGGAATAATTCGACCCAAGACTTTTCCCGAGGCCCGCAAACTTTTCTCAAAAAGGAAATATAGGGACCCCTGAAGAAAGAGGAAAGGAAAAAGGACATAAAGCAATGAACTGTGGGCCTGCAAGGGGTCAAACAAAAGGGCAATCATAACTTAATCATAACACGTTGCCCCAAAGCATCACTTCTGGAAGTTCGCGTGAAATCAGACCAACTGATTTGCTCAAAGAAAAACGTAGAGCCTCCCCAAGGGTCCCAGCAGGTTCAGTTTTCAGGGCTACCAAAAGGAGAAACCGTTTCTCAGCAATGGCCGCCTGCAGATCCTTCACCGCCTTCGGCTGCAGTTGCTAGCTAATCCGCTGCTGTTCGTGGAAAAAACAACAACCTTGGTTCTTCCAGTCGATTGTTGCACTGGCCGCTTTTACGGGGGGTTCAAACTTTCAGGGTAATGTAACTTTCATGCCATGTTCGGAGAACCAAAACCAATGCGCACTTTGGGGAGTAGCTCCTAGCACCTTCTTTGGAGTATCATGATTGTCTTTGACCCATGACTCCATCTGTCAGCCTTTGTCAAAGCTGTACCCACTTCGCGCGCGCGCCGGCGCCTTGGCGTCCTCTGCCTGCGCGGGCACCACCTGACACGAAGTACTCCGGTCAGGGTTCCCCCTTCACCAAGGTATGGGCTTGCGTTGGACCCCGTTTAAAAAGGGTGGAAAAACAAAATCCAAAGGAACTCCCTGTGGGCAAACCCGACTCTTTCCCTTTTTCCCCTCCAGGAGTGGAATCTACGATTCGGATCCAACGGCCGTGTCTTTCCAAGAAAAAACACAGGACGTTTCGGGGTTGGCTGGAAGGAAAGCAATAACGCATGTTCCAGTATCACAGGTGATTGAGGGCCCTGTACATGGGGTCCAGGGTCTTGCTGAAACCACAAGCAAAGCCCAACATTGCCTGAGGGGGCTTGCTCTGGAGCCACGACCCCACAGACCTCAGTGGGCCCGAAGCGGCCCTTTGGCGAGAACTGAAGTGACACGGGTGTCTCTTTTTGTACCCCTAAAGCAAAAGGAAAACCACAATTTGGAGGCCCTCTACAAAAGACCCATCTTTGCAAGGAACCCTGTTTGGGCCTGGAAGCCTAGCCAGCAAGGCGAGTGACGAAACCGGCAGAGTCGAGAGGCAAACTATTGATCAAAGTGGACACGTCTCAAGTGCCCAGCGGGGTGAACTTGAACGCCGGCTTGTCTGGCATCTGGGCCTGCGCGAAAATGGGACGTACATTCCAATAAACCTCTAAACGGTTGGGGTACTTGGTGGAAACTATTTGGAAGCCTTGCGGGTACCAATTATTTCTGGCTCCTATCACACTGTCATGAAGAACTGTTGCTGCGGGGCGCTCCCTCAGAACGTGCCTTAAATAGGCACCCCCTTTGAGGACAAACGGGAATCGCTTGATGCTGATTCTGGAAAAATGGCGCCAAACCTATATCTTGAATGGCTTCCTATACTGCCAATCCACAGGCGCCATCTTTCACAAGCGCTCCCATCGTTTGATCGTTTGCCTGTGCCCACTTCTTCTGAGCCTTGATGTTGTTGCGATTGGATTCCCCCACCCCCTACGTAGAAACGCTTGTAGCTGCCAACCATCGGCTTCCGATCTGGCATGGTGCGCTTGGGATATGAAATGGATGTCTAACTTTCTGTGAGGATACCCCTTTTGTGTGGTTTTACCGGGAAACCAAAGGAAACCAAACATTTTAGGGGTTCCCCTATTTGAGACAAACCCATATTCCTCGCGACGTCTAGCGAATCATCCGCCGCCTTTTGACTCAGAATGAAAATTAAGCACTCCTGCATCTAGTAAACAACAGGGAAACACACAAACATACAAGGAACCCAGATTTTGGAAAGTTTCAGTGAGTTGCGCCTAGAGCAAACATACTTTCGAAGCTGGTATCTGAAGTCCTGTTCTCGCTCCGTGGCGACATTCGGCAAAACTCAGTCGATTTGGCGTAACTTTCAGCATTTTGCTGGGGACGGCACGTAAAATCGGTCAAGATCGGTCACATTCATCCCAACAGCGTTGGCCCCGCTTCTGACACCCATCCCAACATCCTGACAGCATGACAGCGCCCAGCCATTGGTCGCCATTTCATGAAACTCAGAAACCAAAGCCCTGTAAAAACGTAGGTCCGACTTTTGGAGGAAAACCCGCGGTTTTTGCGGAAACCCGATTTACCAATTTACAACTTAACCACAAGGGACAATGGGGCATCATCGCCCCGTGATTCTTGAAGAGGAAGACAACAAGTACAACGCAAGCACACACGCACATTACTGTAGCAAGTGAATCCTGCATGTCGCTCATTTAACCACTGCAATGGCATTCACAACATTCCATAAATGGCTCTCGGATTCTGCCCAGAACGTGGCCTTTGCGGCCTTTGGCTTTCCCTCTGATAAATCCGCTACGTGCAGAAAAGATGCTTTGCATGTTTTTTGCGACCAGGATGTCTAAATGATTTGGTCATTTTAGGGGCAATGGTTCTACTTTCTAAGGCAGAAAGGGAAAGTGCGGCAACCCGGCAACCCGGCAACCCGCTCAAATCAAAAAGCCACCATCTTTGAAGAGGTGACCCACTTCTGCAACCAAACCTCTTTGGCATATCGTTGGTCCCTGTCAGAGGGCAGGCCGGGCTCGCGAGATTGGGCCCCGTAAAATCTGGTTTCCGTTCGTTCGAGCAAGGTGTGTTCAACCAAAACCACACGCATGCCCCGGGTCCAGCCTGGCAGCCTCCCAGCTCGTGTGAGGGGCCTGGCCACAAAGCCAAGAAGCGAACCGATCATAGAACGCAGGGGGTCCTTGCTCACATGTAAACACCCGCTTGTCCCCTTGACCCCGCTTGTGAACATGAACCACACTTTGTCCATCGAGTTTGAACATGCTTAAACGACCTGGTTTAAACTTGTTCAGACGTGCCCCGTGCATCTCTCATGTCTCCTCGGACCTTGCTAGCGCCGCTGTCGTGGGAACGTTTCGACCTTGTTTACACACGTTGCAACACTCCGTTCAAATCTCTCGGACCTTCGCAAGAGGAAATAGGTGGGAAACAGTTGATTGTTCGAAGTCGCTTAAACGTGCCCTACACCCCTCTCTTCGGACCTTGCAAGGGGAGGTGAGCTCCGACCAGCACCAGTGTGTTGGGCCCTTGGAGAAAACAAGGCTTCTCAGGCGTTAGTTTTATCCACGCAACGCTCCCGCCACTCTGCGGCATTGACAAGGCTCACCTACACAACACAAGGCTGCATGTGTAGACAAACCAGTTTGAAGCCCTGTTCCAACGGACAAAGGGCAAGTTGCGTTTTGCTTCATGGCCATGTTGACGTACCCCAAACAGTGTGGCCTTTCATGAATTTCAAGCGTGGGCCCGAAACGTCGAAAATACAAGTTTTGAGGCGGTTCCTACTCTTGAAATTCACAGCCACAAAGTGGCTCGTAAGTGGGGGTCCTGGGTATTTGAAAACTCCATTCAGCGGTGACCCTTTTTGATGATGATGAGACGTGGACATGGGCGGGGAGGCCAGACCAACCCGTGTAGCATTTGTTTTTTTTTATCACCCAGTGACCCCGGCCTCCCGGGCTCTCTAGCTGCTCCTCTCGTGAAGGGACGACAGTTGAGGTGGAAGAGGCCTGCGCTGGATCAACGGTTGCTAATAGGGGTCTGGCGCTCCGTGTCCTTCAGATCCAAAAGGGAAAAACACCGGGTCCAAGACCACTACGCAAGTTGTGACAATAATGCGTTGGGAGCCTGGGAGCCACTCTCCTGTTCATGCGCCACCTTATGTTACTCCCCTGAAACCTCTGTGCTACAGAGATGCCCCAGCCCACTAAGACTTGCCGGTTTGGAGGTGTAATCTGAAAGTGGCACTTACCGGTTCAAAGTGAACTTCAATTGTACTTCCGATGAGTCTACCTCCGATGAGTCAGAAGCAGCGTGCGTTCTCTTTGTCTCAGAGCAGAAACAGGCTTGATGTTCCAACCTTTGTCAGACTCCCCCCCAAAAAGAAACCTGATAGAAGCCACAAACCCGAATGCAGACACGAAAGCGGACTCTTGTCACATCTCGCGTCGCAACTCTAGTCACGTTTCTGTAGTCACGTCTCTGGTCACTTCTCTAGTCACGCCTTTGGTCACGTCATTTGTCACGTCTCTCGTAGCAACTCTGGCCACGTCTCTCGTCATGACTTTTGTCAAACCTTTCATCATGTCTCGCCGCGCCTCTCGTCACGACTCTGTCACATCTCCCATCACGTCTTTCTTGGCGACTCCCGTCACCCCTCGAGTCGCGTCTCTGGCCTTTTATCACGTGTCTTGCGGCGCCTGTCGTCACGACTCCGTCGCGTTTCCCGCCGCGTCTTTCTTGGCGACTCTCGTCGAGTCGTCGGCCCTTCACATCTCTCGTCACGTCTCTGGTCCAATCTCGTCACGTCTCTGGTCATGCCCCTTGTCAGCTTTCTTGTAACAGCGTCTCTTGTCCTCTTTGACAAAAGACGTTTGAGAAGAGACGTGGCGAGGGTCGTGACAAGAGACGTGACCAGAAACGTGACGCGAGAGGCAACAACGCACGCGACAGGATCTCCAAGAAAGGCGCGACGGGAGACGCTACGTATAGTCGTGACGAGAGGTGTGTCGAGACACGTGATGAAAGTCATGACGAGAGACGTGGCCAGAGTTGTTGCGACAGACGTCATGAAAGGACGTGACCACAGAAGTGTCCAGAGGCGTGACGATGGATGTGATGGGTGTGACAAGAGACATGCGAGGAGAGTCGCGACAAGACGCAAGATAAGGCGTGACCAGAGACGTGATGAGAGATGCGACAAGAGATGTGACAAGGATCGTGACGCGAGCGAGAGGTTGCCAGAGACAGAACGGCAAATATGACAAGAGATGTGTGAGACGAGACGTGGCGAGGGTCGTGACAAGAGACGTGACCAAAGACGTGACTAAGAGACGTGACCAAGGAAAAACAAGAGACGTGACAAGAGACGCTTTTACGAGAAAGCTGACAAGGGGCATGACCAGAGACGTCACTTGAGACGCAGAGACGTGACTATACACAAAAAAGAGGAATAGCCAGTACTCTACGTGGCGATAAATGTCATAAGAGACGTGTGCACACGAGACGTGACGAGATTGAACCAGAGACGTGACGAGAGATGTGACAAGAGACATGACGCGAGGGCCGAAGACTCGTGCGTGACAAGAGGCGCGACGAGAGTCGCCAAGAAAGACGCTGAGGGAAACGCAACGGAGTCGTGACGACAGGCGCGGCGAGACACGTGATAAAAGGCCAGAGACGCCACTCGAGGGGTGACGACTCACATGACAAGAGACATGCCGGGAGTCGCCAGATAGGTGACCAGAGACGTGACTATAGAACTATAGAAACAAGAGTCCGCTCTCGTGTCACGTCTCTGGTGGCGTCTCAAGTCACGTCTCTGGTCATGCCCCTTGTCAGCTTTCTCGTAACAGCGTCTCTTGTCACGTCTCTCTTTTTTCCTTGGTCACGTCCCTTAGTCACGTCTTTGGTCACGGCCTTTGTCGCGTCTTAAGAACGTATCTTGTCACATCTATCGTCTCGTAGCTAGTCACGCTATTGGTCACGTCCCTTGACAGGTCTCTTGCAACAACTTGATCTGGCCACGTCTCGCGTCATGACTTTCATCACATCTTTCATCATCACATCTTTCATCATCACATCTTCCATCACGTGTCTCTACGCGCCTCTCGTCACGACTACGTAGCATCTCCCGTCGCGTCTTTCTTGATCCTGTCGCGTGCGTCGTCACCCCTCGCGTCACGTCTCTGGTCCTCGCCACGTCTCTTCTCAAACGTGTCTTGTCATATTTGCCGTCCCGTCTCTGGTAGCCTCTCGCGCCACGATCCTCGTCACGGGTCTTGTCGCATCTCTCGTCACGTCTTCTCGTCACAGCTCTCCTCTTCTCACATTCATCGTCGCCTGTCTAGTCACGTCTGTTGTCACGTCTTTGGTCACGTCCTTTGTCGACAACTGACAACGACAACTGACAACTGACAACGACAACTGACAACGACATCGTCAAGCACATAAACAAGAACAACCATAATAGGAAAATGAACCAGCCCCAGGTGATTTCCTGGGGAAGCAACAGCTACTGATGCTCTGATTGTATATGTCCGCCGACATTGCTCGGCGTGTCGGACACCTAAGAGAGGATAGAGGATAACCCCCCCCCTAACCCCCCCCCCACCCGACGTCTGATACGTGGGGGGGGGGGGGGGGGGGGGGGGGGGGGGGGGGGGGGGGGGGGGGGGGGGGGGGGGGGGGGTGGGGGGGGGGCCCCCCCCCAAAGACCCGCGGGCCCCCCCCCCCCAAGGACCGCGCGGCAATTTGATGACGTTCCACTAAACGTAGTCTTCGGGGACCCGGTGTCGCAAAACAGGGGTCCCAGGCTCGATTCCCCCTGCCGGCTTTTTTGCTGGCTTGGGCTTCCTGCATCCTTTTGCCGAAAATCTGGAAAACTCTGTGTTTTTGGACATCATCTTTGCGAAAACGCTGGAAAAACAGTGTTTTTTGCGGGAAATACTGGGGAGCAAAGGGGAAGTGCAAGGATACATACAGACATACATACAGACATACATACAGACAGACATACAGACATACATACATTACACTACACAACATCACATTACATCACTTTAAATTACATCACATTACATACATACATTACATTACATTACATTACATTACATTACATTACATTACATTACATTACATTACATTACATTACATTACATTACATTACATTACATTACATTACATTACATACATACATACATACATACATTACATTCATTACATTAATACATACATTACATTACATTACATTACATTACATTACATTACATTACATTACATTACATTACATTACATTACATTACATTACATTACATTACATTACATTACATTACATTACATTACATTACATTACATTACATTACATTACATTTACATTACATTTACATTACATTTACATTACATTACAGTACAGTACATTACATTACATTACAGTACATTACATTACATTACATTACATTACATTACATTACATTACATTACATTACATTACATTACATTACATTACATTACATTACATTACATTACATTACATTTCATTACATTACATACATACATACATACATTACATACATACATACATACATACATACATACATACATACATACATACATACATACATACATACATACATACATACATACATACATACATACATACATACATACATACATACATACATACATACATACATACAATACATACAATACATACAATACATACAATACATACAATACATACATACATACATACATACATACATACATACATACATACATACATACATACATACATACATACATACATACATACATTACATTACATTACATTACATTACATTACATTACATTACATTACATTACATTACATTACATTACATACATACATACATACATACATACCATTACATACATACATACATACATACATACATACATACATACATACATACATACATACATACATACATTCATTACATTACATTACATTACATTACATTACATACATACATACATACATACATACATACATACATACATACATACATACATACATACATACATACATACATACATACATACATACATACATACATACATACATACATACAGACATGCATACATACATACATACATACATACATACATACATACATACATACATACATACATACATACATACATACATACATACATACATACATACAACATACATTACATACATACATACATACATACATACATACATACATACATACATACATACATACATACATACATACATACATACATACATTACATACATACATACATACATACATACATACATACATACATACATACATACATACATACATACATATTTACTTACATTACATTACATTACATTACATTACATTACATTACATTACATTACATTACATTACATCACATTACATTACATTACATTACATTACATTACATTACATTACATTACATTACATTACATTACATTACATTACATTACATTACATTACATTACATTCATTACATTACATTACATTACATTACATTACATTACATTACATTACATTACATTACATTACATTACATTACATACTTACATTACATTACATTACATTACATTACATTACATTACATTACATTACATTACATTACATTACATTACATTACATTACATTACATTACATTACATTACATTACATTACATACAGTACATACATACATACATACATACATACATACATACATACATACATACATACATACATACATACATTACATACATACATACATACATTACATTACATTACATTACATTACATTACATTACATTACATTACATACATACATACATTACATTACATTACATACATACATACATACAGAAATACATACATACATACATACATACATACATACATACATACATACATACATACATAAATTACATACATACATACATACATACATACATACATACATACATACATACATACATACATACAT